GGAACATGAACCAAACATTGCTGGACTGAATAAAATGTTGGCATCAATCCTTAAAGTTTACCTTGCAATGTGTAATGTCATAATTAAATGGAGAAAAGGAGGCCAAGCTATTCTTTATGGCCAGTGAGTAAAACAGGGATCTGAAAGGAGGCTGAATTTCCATGTAATAAGGCTATCTAAATCCAATTAATTCCAGAAGTGCTAACCACCAGTAAACACAATGGAAGCATTTAAATGAATTTTTGGGTGTTTAAATGCTCTTTTCAATCACATGTAATTTCTTTTTTTTTTTCCCAAATAACCGAAAAATTGTTTATCACCAGCATTCACATGGCACAAACATAAAGAACCTGAGAAAGGCCAGGCCTTGGCTGAGGCCTGAAGGAGAAGCAGAGCTCACAGACAACAGGCTGTGTACTCAATCAATAAAAGAAACAGCATCAAAGAATTTTGTGATGAAATTGCACCCACTGAAGATGCAGCACTGGGCTGATTTCTAAGCCAATGAATGAGGACAGTGCAGGATTTGAAAATTAATTTCTTTTCCTCTTTTTTTTTTCCCTCTCCCCTTTTCCAGTGCATTCATATTTCCTTAAATAATTATTTTGATTTACACTTTTGTTTTCCCCCTGACTTTAAAAGCCTGAAATGCATCTTGTGTTAGAGATGCCAGGCAAAGCAATTATCTTGGTATTATATTTAAGCATCACAAAAAGCCTGTTTGGGGAGGGAGGAGGACTGACAACAGTGCTTTTATTAAATTACAAGCTGCTCCCTGCAGAATGATGGGGAGGCTGGAAGCACAGAGTGAGATTGCCCATTATATACAGACATCATTAGTCTGGAGTACCTATACATTCACATATGGATATAAGCAGATAATTCAGATCTTTTGGGCTCTTCTGACAGAGAAATATTGCCAGGTAAATATTGCATGATCAACCCAAAGGTGCAACACCAACCTAAGAGAGAGCTCAGGCCACCCTCAGGTGTCTCAGCACAAACACATCCCCACACCAGCAGCCCCCATGGACATCGTCTATCAAGAATCTTGGAGAAAAAAGAACAGGAAAAGCATCCACGTCGTGCTAAAACATCTCCCTGGTGCCCAGGAATAGGTGGGTTGCTGACTTTCTGTGCCAGACATTGCATCTGCCTGGGGAACCTTCACGGAATAAATTTCTCAGTTCTTTTCTAAATACGTTACACTTTTGGCCACTGCAACAGAATGTGCCCATAAATTCTACTGCTCTTTAATGTGCTCTGTGGAAAAAAGAAAATTATCTGTGTTTTCTGTATGTATCTGCTCTTTATACAGGGTGCTGGCTTAGCTGCAGAGAACAAAACAGGAGAGATGAACTCACAGGTGAGCACCACCAGCTTTCCCATCTCCTACAGCACCGACCCTTACCAATCCCTGAATAAGAGCCCTGTGAAGGCTTTCATTACTGAAATCTGCAGGGAAAATATCCTCACTTCAAAGGATGGCCCTGCCAGGTTCTGCTGTGTTGTCACAGGGACAGGGTCTGAACTGCACCACCACAGCCACGAGGATTCCACCCAGCTGGGCAAGCACCTCCTCCTGCCCTTCCTCAGCAGCAGCAGCAGCACCTTGTCCTTGCTGTACAGCAGGGGGGAGACAGGAATTAAATCACCAAATAAACCAAATCACAGGAGAATGGCTACACTACCACAGGAGGAGGAGAGAGGAATGTCATCCATGCCAACAAACCAGTGAAGCATATGGAAACTGCACTTAAGGCATAAAGGGTGTTTGAGGAGTTGATATAACCAGATGGCTAAAGAGCAAGGAGAGAGCAATTCCAGAAATTGTGAGGGAAACAGGGAACTGAGAAAGAAATTAAGGATTATGAACTTCATACTGAAAAGGGCATGGAGAATTGAAGAGGAAAACTATAGCAGTAGTGATGAAATTTTTGTAAAAAGTGAAAAAAACACATCAGCAGATGTTAGAACTGAGCCAGAATTTGCTTTTCTCACCTGCAGAGAGGTATCAGTGCTGAGGAGGATCTCCCACATGTGCCAGAAGGATCCAGGAGGGCAGAAACAGAGTCTGGCCAGGACAGAAGGACAACTCTGGGCTGAGGTACATGTTTAAGTCCTTCAGAGCTGGGTTCAGGGCCTGGCTTTCTCAGACACCAAATTAATTATTTGTCTTTTGTATGCATTCATCTCTCAATAATAAAATTCAGATAGAAATATTTCTATCCATTCTCTGCCTCTGACAGGTATTTGCATGATCTTAGCCAGCAATGAGGTCCTGATCTAGCCACAGACACAGCTGCAGGTCCCAATAAAACAACTGTTAGAGTACCCAGGCTTAGAAAAGAAAATTTAAAATTAAAGTACATGTATTTCTTGATAAATAAATCTACCACTTAAATCATTAAATTGCAGACAGCATTTACTCCTTGCTTTGGATTTATTCACCTTCTTGTCAGCTGGCTTCAGAAAAATAACCTTTAACAACACCACACAAGGGCTTCACAAGGTAGGAAGGAAATGCTAATTGGTTTTATCCTTTTGTGAAACAATCCATCCAAAGTTAATTAGAATAGGTTTACTTTTTCTTCACAGAAATAATCCATAAGAAAGACTGATGGGCAGAGCAAGCTGTGTCCTGCACAAAGGTGGTAGGATTTAAGAGATTCTGAGCTGTGCTCCCAGAACTCTGCAGCCTTCAGGCATCTCTCTGGTCTTTCTCTGTGGATGGCATAATTAGGGTTTGAGTGGAAACCCCAGTGGTGAAGCCTGATAAGAAGTTAATCTTGTGGGCACCACGTGGGCCCAGAGAGATGTGCCCCAAAAGCCCAATTAGCAAAGGCTTCCTGCCCTAGGCTGTGCCGGAGCTTTCCTCAGTGCTGATCAAGAGCTGAGGAGCAGCAGCTCAGGGCTGAGGAGCACTGCACTCTGTCCCCATCTCACTTCTCACGGCCACCTTCACACTGCCAGTGTGACATTTACATCCCACAGATTCACACACACCTCTCTGGAAGCAGGATTCACCTCTGAGCCATCAGCCACGCTGGCTGCAGACACGAGCCAAGGCTTTTCCCCCTGCCTGGGGAGCCCCACAGAGGGTACTCATCCACAGACCCTGGCCCCAGGTTCCTTGGACCCTCTGGCTGAGGGCAAGCAAACAGAATTTGTGTGAAATCTGTGCCATCCCAAGTGCAGAACCCAACAGCATTACAGCAAGCCCAGCCCCTGACAACCATGCATGAGCAAAGTGAGAAAATGATAAGGTTTGATTTCCCATCATCTGTAAAGAGAAAAGGAAAAAGTTCTTGATTGATGGAAAAGCACTGCAGAACTGGAAAAAAGAGGCAGAGGTCCTTTCTTTTGTAGAGGGAAAACACTTCCCTAACATCCCAAGGAAAGCTGAGGCACACCATCCATGGACCCTTCAAATTCCCTTTTCCATCTAGGAATATTAAAGAGCAAATCCCAGTTTCAAGAGGGATGCAGGTCATGGAAACTGCTGCTGGGAAATTGTGGTTTCTCCAGACCAAGGGACTGTAGCATGACTATGATAGAAGGAGTTAATAGAGCCTGGAATTGTTTTATTAAGTAGATTTGCCAGAATTTACTGATTATTAAACCTCATTAGCCAGGAACTTGTACTCCATGTTCTTACCCAGTTGCTGCCTGCTGCCTGCTGGATACACGGAGGGATGCTGGAGAGATTATTGCTAAGCCCTTCCCCTTTCCCTCTCCCCTCCTCTTCTAGGACAACATTGACAGTCCCGGGGGAAAGAGAGGAGAGACAGGGAGAGGGCAGGATCCACCAGCTCTCCTTCAGCATCTTCCACCAGGAATCCCCAGGACAGGAGCTGCCCCCGCCCAGGACACCTTCACCGAGCATCCCTTAGCACAAACATATGTTACATCAACACCCACGGCTGCTTTCCCCTTCCAGGAAAGACGAGAAGGAGGAAGAGGGAAGGGACAGGCAGCTGCAGAGTGCTCCAGGGATTTTCCATGACATCGCTGCTGGCCGATCCCCCCGGGAGCTGCAGCCGGCCGCTGCTCGGTGTGCGGGATGTGAGCATCACCTGCGGGGCAGCCTGCCTCCCGGAGCTGCCCCTGCTCCCATGGTAAGTCACTCCGGGAAACTTTCCTTGCGGCGTTCGCACCTCGCTGGCTTGGGTTTAAAAAGTGCTTTTTAATCTCTAGGCAAAACCAGGGGCTTGTCCCTGGGAGGAGACGGGGAGGGTTTCACTCGCTGCCCCGCTCCGGGCTCAGCAAACACTTGGTGCCGGCTTAAGAAAGTTTTCCCCGCGGTGGGCAAAGCTTTCCCCTCCAACTTCTCAGTAATCGGCAGTGGCAGGAGGCCGGGTTGATAGAATAGCCGTCATTTAGACAGAACTTTCCCACTCGAGGAATTCTGTAAACCTCTCTCGGCTAATCCTGGCAATCCCCCCGAGAGGCAGCACGGGCTCCCAGAGGAGCCACAGTCTGAGCAGTCCAGTTAAAGCAATTAGGAACTTCGCATCCAGTCCATGGCAGGTAATTAACCACTCTGTCTCTAATAACTATTAAGCAGCTTAGTTGAGTTAGCGCGTGGTTAAGGGTTTATAGAAATAAGAAAGCGAAGCGACAAGGACCGGAAAATGACAACCTAGGGGTGGCCAGACGTGCTCGGAGGAGAGCCCGAGGTGTTCCCGTGTGGGCTCGCAGGCACCGAGCCTGTGATAATTATGAATGAGGCTGAAGCTCCGTGCCTGTGTTGCCAGACAACCAATGAGGCTGCAAAGCAAAGCTCATTCACGGGCTGCAGCTTTCAGGAGGAAACACAGAGGTGACTCTTACTTACAAAACAGGCACTCGCTAATTCCGTGACTGAGGAAAGTGGCTGGAAGCACCTTTTCTGTCTTGCAGTAACCTCTGCTATGTTTTCTCCTCCTCCCTGTATCTGCTGGCTGACAGATCCCCCTGCTCTGATGCCGTTCTGGATGTCCTGGTGAGAACTCTTAGAGATGCCTATTCTCTCCAGAGGCAGTGACCAAGACTATAGCAACATTAGCTACAACTCCTGCAATTCCTTGAGCCACCTCCTTCCCATCTGCGTGGAAACCCCTTCTGTCAAGGGGGTCCATTACCAGAGAGCCAGGAGGATTTACCACCCTGACCAAGTGTCTGCAGTGGATCTAAAGACAGAGATCATGATCAACGTTGGAGGCATCAAGTACCTGCTGCCTTGGAGTACTCTGGACGAGTTTCCCCTGACCAGACTGAGCAAACTAAAGCTTTGCAGCAGCTACGAGGAAATCATCCAGCTGTGTGACGATTATGATGAAGACACCCACGAGTTCTTCTTTGACAGGAACCCCAACGCTTTCGGGATGATTGTCAGCTTCCTCGCCGCGGGGAAGCTGATGCTCTTGAGAGACATGTGTGCCTTGTCTTTCCAGGAGGAGCTGAGGTACTGGGGCATTGAGGAATCCAACCTGGAGAACTGCTGCTTTCGGAAACTGTTCCAGAAACTGCAGGAGCTGGCCGAGATCCGCAAGGAAGAGGAGCTCCGGAGGAGCAAGGAGGCTTCGTGTGTCTTGGATGAGAAAACCAGATTTGGGCAGTTCATGAACAGACTCAGAGATATGGTGGAGAATCCCCAGTCAGGACTGCCAGGCAAAGTCTTTGCTTGTCTCTCCATCCTCTTTGTGGCCACCACAGCTATCAGCCTTTGTGTGAGCACAATGCCAGACTTAAGAGCTGAAGAAGACAGGGTAAGTCAGTCCTTAACTGGTCTAAGCACAGCTTAATGGCACAGACTGTGACAGGAAACACAGCAAGGGCTCCAATTAGCTCTATCGTTTTCAAGTGATATCATGTTAAGAGTAATGGGAACAAATATTCTGATTTTTAGCTAAAATGCAAGAAAGCTTTTGGACAGAGCAGATATTTCAGGTGTCCAGTATAGGACAGCTTTTTCTTCTTGAGAAGCAGCTGCCAGTGTAAGATTAACTTGTTAGCACTGAGACTCTCACACTGACATTGTGGAGTTCTCAAGATGCTTCACTCTCTAGCTACAGGCAACCTCTCCTTTGGACACAACAGCTACAGAAATATTTTCCTCTGACATCTTTATTTTAAAACAGCTGAGTATCTTCCCTTGTGATAAAGCTTTCAGATGCTTAAAGAGGGAGAAATATTCATTAATTTTTAGATGTTACATTTCAGTAGTTGCATAAAGATTGAAGGATGAGGCAGATGAAGTATTTTTGCACGTACTGATACATAAAAGCTGTGCCTCCAAAAATCACAATTCCATGCTAAGAGAATTCTGTATTTGCCCCATATATATGTATATATTGTAGGAGCAATACCAAATTCTATCTGAACTGCTAACTGCATTTAAACCCTTCCCAAAGAACTCATCCACATTAATTCAGGGCAAATAAATCAAGCCTGTATCACACACGAAGGATCTTCTCTATAGCATTGCTGTAAATATTTCAGCAGTTAAAAGATTTATTTTTGTAATAATAGACCAGAGGAAAAGTAAGAATCCAAAGTTATTTCAGATGTGGCAACGTCCAAATTCATCACATAACCTTGACTAATCTCTCTAATGAATCCTGCACTTCATCTTCAAATTGCCCTTCCAAAAGTGCTGAGGAAATCTGTGTCAAATAAACTCCCTGCCCCAACCCCTGCTGTAACACAAGACACTCCTCAGAGTGTCATATATTGATGAATAAAGTCATTTTTATATTTATAGCACAGCCTGGTATGCACACTACAAAAATCTGTATCTATTTTACTGCTCAAGCCATTGGTCAAAGCAGCCTTGTCATGGTTAAAATATGTCCTGATATTTGATGACTTTGGATAAAACTGAGGAGTGCACAGGAGGCTGAAATCTAAGATCGTCCCCTATTCCATTTTAACCCCTTGAATATTAATTCCATTTGCTCAAGAAGGCTCTAACCTGTCAGGAATAATCCTGCTGCACTTGTAGCCTTCCTCAGCTATTACTTTTTGGCTGAAAAAAGGAAAATCTGTGTTCACGGGAAAAGCTGTTAACACTATTCCAGTGCTTCTTCCAAGGAAGTACTTTAAATATAGAACATCTTTCTTCCAGCCCGATGTACAAACATCACAAACTCTGCTCCAGCAGGAGATTCCTACTAACTTTGTTAATGGAAGTGGCTCCATACCTTTTATCTTCATTTCCCAACCACTGCAGGAAAAACTTTGATAAATTAGTCCCATTCAAAAGAACCAGCACATGAGCAAAGCTGGATGTAAGGGGCTGTGTGTTTTAAAAATAATTTACTGAGTTAGAAAGAAAAGCATGCTGAGGGTTATAAGTGTGTCTGGGAGCTGCAGTGAAGCTGCTGTTGCTGAATTTCCTATAAAACAAGGATGACATTACTACTTACAGATTTGCATATATATCAGTATTTTAAAAACAAGCAAACTGCATTGAAATGAGCTCAAAAGATGGATTGTTTCAAGTGCAGGGGAGAGGATGAAGGATGAACTTGAGGAAAGGACCACATTTGTCCAAATACTTGGAAATATTCCATAATTTACACTTACAGCACCAGCCTAATGCACTTTGTCACTGTGGCCTGGAATACAGAGTATTAAAAGTCCTGTTCTTTGAATTATGTGATGTTCTGCCACAGGAAGCACAGGGGAATATATGAGACAAAATACTCATGCCTTGTGGAAAAGCAGAGAATCTGAACTACTAGCAAGCAGTTTTGGTATCCCTAAATTTCCATCACCAAATTCTTATCCTGCAACAACTAAGATTTCCCTACTGGGATCTCAAAAGAGCATTTTAACTAGAGCTGGACAAATAACTCCATGAAGTTAATTGACTAAAATTAGGACTTCTTGGCTGCAGCTGAGTCATACTTAACAAAATCAACTCTCTGCTGATTTGTAACTCAGAACTGTTCACTGACCTCAGAAAGTGATTCCAAAGTGGGGCCACATTTACCAGCACCTGAGACAGGCATGCAGGACCTGAAATTTTTGCTTTTTGGGCTGGACACAAAGATGATTCGATAGCTGTTTACTCAGTGACAGAAAACAGCCAAATTCCTTCACAAAGTTTCTGAACAACCTGAAATTCCACACCTGAATTCAAAGATGCCCTCTCCTGAGGTTTATTCAATTCTGAGTTAAAGTTTGGCAAAAGCTCCGAGGTAAATGTCCTTAAAAGTACTGCAAGGACCCATTTTCCAATGTCACTAACACTGGAAATTGAATTTATCCATAGTACCCATTCTGAAAAACAGACAGGAAAGTCTTTACCTCTGCTGTCACTCTAGGGTCCTGTTCCTCCCCATCACAGCCACGCTGAGAGAGTGAAAACTGGCTGGACTCCAGCTCAAGAAGGATCAGAGTGAAAAAAAAAGAAAGTAATAAAACAATGAATAATAATGCAAGGTGACTTGCACTCGACTCACTTGGCTCAGAGGCTGCTGATCCCAGCCTGCAGGCACAGCAGATCCCTTTTCCCCTCAGCAGCTGCTGAGCCAGGTCTGCTCAGAAGGGAGCAAAGCTGCCCGGGCAGGCAGGAGAGCACCCCGGAGTCCTCCCTGCGCGAGGGAAAGTGAAAAGTGGGCTCTGTCTGCGGGAGAGGGGTGGCAGGGAGCCAAGAGGGAGCATCTGCATCAGGGAAACCCTGGCAGTCACCCTGGCAACCAGAGGGGAGGGAAGGACCATCGCCAGGGGCAGCAGAGGCGATGGGAGCTGAGAGTCAGGAATGCAGCTGAAAGCGAAATAAAGGAGGAGTTGTTATAACCAGCACCATGCACACAATCCAGATTATGCCAAATGCCATTTAGGAACCTCCCCATGGAAGAAAAACGCAGAGATTTGGGCAAACATTTCTGTAAATTTGTATCATATATGCACATGCTGTGAATCCCAACCCAGAGAGAACAGTCCCGGGTGAAGGGTGAGCAAAAAGTTCAGCAAAAATCTAAAGTAGCAGAGGAACAGCTCTGGGGAGCTCAGGTTTGAGTCTGACCATGAAATAAATATACAAAAGGTTTTATCATTTATGAGGCTAAGGAAAGAGGAGTCATCAGTAACAAGGTTGTGTTCTTTAGGAATAAAGCAACAGAATTATCACATTCTCCAGGTGCAATATATCCTTGTCCACGATATTTGCATCAGTTCTGTATGGAGCTCAGATTGTCTTTGGTAAAAAAGCAGATTTATATCATCAACGTGCAGTAATCAAGGCATGTAGAGTTAGAAAAAAAAAGCGTATTTAGAGGTGAGGAAATCTGTTATTGATCTGAACAGACAGCTTGAGAGAACTGAAAATCTGGAGACCAAGCATACAGGATAGGAAAACTGAAGTGCCAAAATTCACCAGAATTACCCTCAAATGAAGAAATTCAGATCATCCCACTAGAAACAGGACAGACCCATCAAAGCCCCCTGAAAGTCCCAGTCCCACATAAGAGTTACAGCCAGGATCTAAGGGGGGTCACTGAAACAGCCACTGCTCAGCACATCCAACCCAAAGAAAAAAACATCATTACACCAGAAAGTTATGGGATAAAAACACTGCAGAAGGGCCTGGAGAGGGAGAACACTTTAAAGGACTCTTGGGACTTTCCTTAGGACGAGATACTTCATTTAATGGGTCCCTAAAATTGGCATCCTCTAGAGAAATGACTCAGCAGAAAGGCTACAGCAAGGTCTGTACTTGAGGAAGGCAGCAAATTAAGGTCAGGGGAAAGAAAACCCCCCAGATATTTCCATTCCCTGACCTTCTCACTACTAATTTTTGTGTTTGCTCTTAACTGACCTTGAGGAGCTTGGAATTGCTTTAGGTATTTTATATGAACTAATGAAATCATCATAAGCTGCAACCACTGTTGTTTCATGTGAAGGTTTTTTCCTGAAACACAGAATACTCATTTTTTTAAAAAGCTTCTTTTCTTGGGATGGCTTGATGATGTGAAAATCAAGTTCCTTTTAAAAGAGTAAATTTCTAGTCTCTGGTTGCACTTAGAATCCAGAAAACATGAACAGATGAGGAGAACCTGGTAGTTAACGTATAGAACCACTTTTACATTTTTTTTTTAAGTTCTACATCATTATTCTGGAGGCCTTGATTAGTTTTTCAATGCTTGATATTGCTGAAGTTTTCTTTATGACTCTAAATAATATTTGGCTTGCACACTGGGGGAAACTGCCAAGAAACGGGTTTTCTTTAAAACTGGAATAATTTTACTTTACAGGGGGGAAAAACCCAATTTATTTGCCTTACCGTGAAGAGAAAGAAAATGTAATGCTCCTTTAGAGTGCAAGACTATAAAGACACATGTGTACATGCCTAGATATAAATATACAACGATATACATATGATTTGAAATTGCTTGGAACAAAATAAAGCTGGATGTGCTTTGGCTTTATTGCATCTGCTCAAGCACTTTATTCTGGGCTCTTATCAGGTCCCTTTCTGCAGACAATCCCTCTCTTAAATTGTCCAAGCACCCAATGCAATTCTGATTTTTTTCTGACCATTTTGATCAGCAAGGAAAGTAAGAAAAATGTGTTTAACTGGAGCACCAAAAACCTCCTGGTCTAGGTGTACCCAGCATAATAGAACCTAGCTAATTTGTGTGCTTATGGACTGAATTAGTTAAATTAATAATGATTGAAGAAAGGTTAAATAAGAAGCCATTAAACAACAGAAATCAGAATATTCAAGCCTGTAACTTTGATACATATTTGTAAATTATTG